CTCAGTCTCTGCCAATCTCAGCAGCTATTTACCGCTCAGCAAATCCAAGTAAGAACGAAAAGAACACATCTAGTAGCTCTGCTAAAAGACAGTTTTCTTTTTCATATTACTTGTCTCATAACACACGACACAACACACTCTTTTGTTCAGTTGAAGATGTTGGGATCACAACACTGGCAGAAGACATATTACAAAATGTGCTTTTCACATCACTCAGTCGGTTGATTTTTTTTTTTTACGTTTTTTGTGTGATCAACAAATCTAATTAATCTCATGCTTTCCTCAATAGATGACATTAAAATAACGTGTGATGTGAATGGCACTGTTGAAGTCCAAAATGGAGAAAATGTGACAATTCGCTGCACATCATTTCCAAACGCACAGTACAGATGGACCAAGGTAAAGGAAACTTGGAATTTGAAACTGAATTTAACTCTGACTTCTTTTCAAAATAAAAGGTTTTTATGTGCTACATAATCATGCTTTGCCCCAGAATGATGAACTGTTGTCAGAGACTGAATCTCTGGAGCTCTGGTGGGTGACTGATGCTAATGCAGGGGTTTATACACTGACTGTCAACACAGGAAGCAAACGTGTGCGCAAAGAGTTTGTGGTCACAGTGCTAACGACAACCACAAGTTTGAAGACAGGTGAGCGTCTTCAGTTCATTGCTGCTGTTTGCCTCTTTGTGTCATATTCAATTTCATCATTTCCCGAGGGCTGGATTAGCAATCTAGTAGAGGGCCCAAGAGACTGAATGACTTAATAAACTGCACTGGACCAGAAAGCTGATACTTGAACTTTTGTTATTATACTGTAGCTCACTCAATTTTAATTTTTAATTAGCTGAAGGGAAGGCAAGAGATTCAAAGGATTGTGATGCTGCCAGCCATGTTATGAGAATGTGGAAGGAACTAGGAATAAATTGGGAACTACTAAAACTAAAAAGAAAAAGAAACTCAATTATTTGCTTTAAATCGGTTGTCCATTGGGATTTGAAGGAATACTGAAATACACCCAGCTAAAACATAATTCAAAAGTTTAAATTTCAATACAACCAAGCAGCATGTGGTCTGCCTGCCACCACTGGTTAAATAGTTTGATGGAGTGCTGTGAGCCGGCTGTGCTCAGTTAGGAAAATAATCCCCAGTTGTCTACTTTTTCATCCTTTGTAGACGCTTCTCATGAGAATTTGAATACGTGACAAAAAAATACAAACAGTAGCCACACAGACGTCACAACTTACTTCCCGTTCTTTCATTCTATGTTTCAAACCACAAGCACAAACACACAAACACAACGCACTGCACACTATAACAGTAGCTCAACACCAGCTATAAATCGTGATATGGGGTAAGAGCACAGTCTGTTGGTCAGATTGGAGTAGTACAGCAAATGTAGAACTGAAAACGTCGAAATAGGTCACAATTTCCCGTAGCTCTCATCTAAATTTAATAGAAATGTACATTATCAAACTATGGCATCTCAGTTGTGTCTCATTGGACATCAAACCTCTCTGGGTGTATATATCAGGGTAGGCACGGTAGCATTAAAATTTACACTCAGAAGAGAAACTGTCCTAATTAAAAAGAAACACCTGTACATTGTACTATTGATATTGCAAATTCATGCCAACACCGTTACCTCATAAATCTGTGCCCAAGGCTTCAAACTCTAGATACTTGAAATATTTTAGTTGTATTGATTATGCATATTCTCCCGAATGCCAACATGAGCCGTGTTTTAATGATGTATTACTCTTCATTGGGTAATTTAAAGTTTTCGTCAACTATAATTATAATCCCTACTCTTTATGCAGGTTCAATGAATAGCTTTACATTTGGGAAATACATTGAACACACAGCTCTATATCTCATATTAAATACGAGGCTCTGACCGTAAAGTTTGAGTGTTGGCGAGCAAGCAATTAAGTTTATTTCCCAATAGATTGAAGTATGTTGTAAACAGTAATGCAAGCTAGCATGATTCTAATGTGATGGATAGACTACAGATTTCTACAATATGAAGACACAACCAATCTGCACAGTACATTCTGATAACAGGATTATTTCTTCTTTCACTGTCTTGACAGTGTCACCACAGGGTTTGACTGAATCAGCAGGCATCAGCCTTACAACATCACCAACCCCCGAGCTTTCAACCCACACAGATCGGACCACCTTCATTGCTACAAATGCTCCAAACACCACAAATGTTACAATCACAGCTGATGAGCACATAACCTCTTTTACAAATTCTACACACATCTCTGTCACAGCATCCCCTACCACACACTCTCACACCCAAGATTTGTTCAATACGACTGTCCAGAGGACAACAGAATCAGGCTATCCTAGCACAATGTTGACCTCAACGCAAGAATCGGCCAGTGATGAGATGAGGAATGAGACTGAGGTACATACAGAGCAACCAGAGGGCATTTCCTCAGCAACGCCAGAAGAATACAGCACCACAGGAAACATTTTTAAAAGTCCTGAAAGACCTTCATCTGGAGATAAATATGGAGAAAATGAAAATAAGGGTAAAGTTTTAAAACCGCAGTATTTTACTTTATTTACATCTAAACATGTATCGGTACGATGTGAGAATTTTTTTATACATTGCCAGTCTGCCTCTAGCTCGTTAGTGATGCTATTAGACCATTTGGTGCATTTTCTTTGGGGACTACCAACAAAGTGAGCACTTCGGTTTGTGAATATCAAGGCAAGGTCACAGTGTTGGGGAAAAAAATTGCTTGTAAACAGGCAAACAGCAGATATAAATGCTCAAAAGGCAAAACCTGAAAAGCCAGAGATTCTTTGCTTTCACCATCTGCATCTTCATCATATATTGCTCAGAGGCCTTTCCCAGGTAGAAAACTCATTAAGAGGAGCATCTACTTCTAGGGATGCTGCATGACAAACTGAGGGGGAGGATTGTAAGACACACTTCTCTGCCTAGAGGCAGAAAGTTTCTGCGTTGTAGCTTTACATTTATTATCAGTATTTGTTGAAGTTTTGCTCGGTTTCACCAGAGCAAGACAATCAATATGTTAGAAACTGCAGCTGTTGCTGTACAAATAATCACATTTTCCCTTCTCACAATCTGCTTCTTAGATACGGCACCGATTCATCTGTTGTTGGTGGTAATCATTGTTCCGGTGCTGGTATTGATCGCCGTGGCTGGCTTTCTTTTTAGAAGACAAGTTATAAAAACCAGGTAAAACCCTTACTATCTATGTATTCAACCGTCCTCCACACCTGCACAGGGTCGTGCACTGGGTGACCCTCAATGACCTCAAAAATATTGATATCTGTCAAATTTTCCAGTAGACACACATGACCTACAATACATACCTCCACATTCAATTCAATTCAATTGTATTTATATAGCGCCAAATCACAACAAAAGTTGCCTCAATGCTTTCTGGTTTCAACTAACTGTCTAACAATGCCACAAGTCAATATTTGCACTCTGACTCTGTCTTTGTAGGCTGGATTCGCCGCCTTCGTTCAAACCCCCTCCACCTCCAGTGAAGTATACAGCAATAAGACACAGCGAGACTCTGACAGACTCTTTTCCCATTTCAAGGTGCAACTCTTTAACAGAGACTCAAATATGAATGACTCAAATTTTTGTCCTCTCTTGGTCATGTTGAGAGTTACAGAATGAAGTTATTTTTACTCATTACAAACCAGTCACAGGAAATTTTCCAAATGTGGCTCTGTGTATATACTTTGTGAGGTTTTTTGGGGGGGGGTTGTTTGTTTGTTTTTGTATAAAATGCACCCAAATATATCAATAGCTGAAAATGAATGCATATTAAAGTTCATTAAACTGACTTTTAAACCGTGTTTGTGTTATTTACTTTTCTCTTGTGACATTGTTTCAAATATTGTACTGCTTACTCCATATACTACCAATTCATACACAGTGACAGAACTTTTTAAGGTGTACTTTCTATAGTTTCTTTATCTTTCAAAGGAATGCTGCTTCTGCTGTAATACTTCATTCATTAGTCTGACGAGGCATTTCCTGCCCAGAAACCCAAGGATTTTCTCTAATTTAGCTCAGTATGTTTAGTTGATGCAACAATGTTACAAATGTCTTAATATCAAAGACCCCTGTTGTCCACAGGTACCGCAGAGCGACAATCATGATCACAAAGCAGGGCTAAAACCACAAACCACATGGGCTTAATGGCTAAAAGAAACATAGCAACCACTTGATGAAAGAAAATATGAATCAGTATGGGTTTCATAAACATTAACAAGTGAAGTTCTCTGATGTTTTTTTAAATATATTTTTTAATCCTTTGAGTTAATGAATTGCTAAGTTTTAATGAGCAATTTAAATGGATACTGCTTATATTTATTTAGCCATCGACATTTGTGTTTATCTGCCCTGCAGACACTCACGTATGTAGATGTTCTGGGAAACTTTTCACAACTGCATTTTTTTTCTTATTTTCCAACCACAACAGCTAAACCACAAAGCGCTACGTCTATGCAAGATTTAAATTCTTGATATATACATAGCATACGTAACAATGGCCCTTGCATACAGCTGACAGAACACTATAAATGTGAGCTTATCGTTCAAGACCACATTGTGGTTTTCACCATTTTTCGACTCTTTATTTCTTTTTTAACTCTAACGTTGAGAGCAGACCAGTCTGTGTGAAATTCTCTGCTTTCTTATTGTAGATAGTTTTTTACTGTATTTGTTTATAACTGTGACAAACAATATTAAAGTTGCTATCGTTTCTAAACAGTTGTCATGTTTATATTATAATACAGCGATCTATATGAAATTATTCTGTATCCCACTGTAGTGTTGAGACTGCGTGCCTCAGAATGAGGTTACCTCGCTTCCTGTTTGTAACTGAAGAACATTCAGTTTTCAAAGTACCGTGATACCAGCGAGGTAACAGAGGGAGGGTAAAAATAGACTACAGTGTTGCACATCTCACTGATTAAACAACGTGATGCCCTGTAACCTGAGAGCAGTCGTATCAGACAGAGAACACGTTTTCTTCAAGACGGCTGGAATATGGGTAGGATATGAAGACCTTTTAGAAATTTTAAAGTTATACATATCTGTTATATCTATATCTATATATATCTATATATATATATATATATATATATATATATATAGATATATATATGATATGTATATTTCACAACATTATTCATATCTCACATACGTCGTATATCGCTAAGTATAATTCTGTATAATTTGCTATTTTCCAAAATACTAGAAAAATATTTTTCTAGTTATGTTATGATTATGGCAGGACAAAAGATAAAAGTCAAAACTCCAGGCTGACTGAGTTAGTAATCATGTCTGTGTATATATGTATGTAATCGTATGGTTCTTTGTCTACAGTAGTTAAGCATGTTGTGCTTGTGGGAACATGGCAAAAGCATTTTATGTAAATTTGTCAATAATTTCTAGTTGTGAACAAAACTGAGAGGGAAAGATTATTTTTGAAAAGCAAACCTACGACGCTTCGCTTGTAGAAACACTCGAAGCTGTATACGTTAATAACTTTAAAGTAGCCATATCAGGCTTTAAAGTATGCAAGGTCGTAGTTTTCTTAAAAATTCTCCTCTTCACCATCAGTGATTGGATTTGTCCAACAATGTTAAAGCATCTAATTGTTTTTAGAAAACATGCTAGAATCATTTCTTTTTCTCTTTGATACTGTGATGCATAGAAAGGGGGTTGTAATATTAATGACAGCGCAAGCAAATAAATAGGTTTGAAATATGAACACTGAGTTCTAAAATGTGTCATTTTTCAATATTAGTGGTCATTTTGTTTTTGTCTCTTAGTAGATATTCTAACTGTAGCCGTGGCGCTGCTATCTGTGGCCCTGTCGATCTCTTTATGCCTCAATGTGATCTTTTGCATCAAGCGAAGAACTATTTTGTGCAGAGGTAAGGTGATATGTAATCTAAATGTATTCACAGTTATTTCTAACGCACTCTTTACTTTCTGTAAATTTGCAACATATTTTATTCACACAGAAAAAAATGGATCCTGCTGCCCCCACACTTCTGAAGAAGAAACGTATGTTTTTTAATATATATTTGTTTATTTATTTATTTTGTTGGCAATGTATTATTTAGTCCAATAGACAACACTTGATTGTAAGTAACAGTAATAGATACTGGAGTATTTTCATTTTATTTTTTGATAAAATTACAATATGCAAATAGCATCACATTGTTTAAACAAACTGTCCAAATGTTCTTTCATATTTTGAAGCCTGTCACACAATGAAGGGCATTATTTTCATGACCTTAATCATCAAGAGCAGAGGGAAAATCCCCACAATCATCATGAGCAACAGGAAAATCCAATCTATGGCAACATCAGCACAGAGAGAAGAAGTGAGTGTGTCTGCTTTCTGACTCGTTTCGAAAAAAACAAGACAAAATCAGTGCGTTAGCATTAAGAAACACTTGTATACCTTAATGTATAACTGTGTATGGTTTGCTGATATATACAAAAACATTTTTGGCAAAAACAAACATGGAAAACATGTTTTAATATGGACTAAAACTTAATGGATTAACATGTGCAAATTTGCCTTAATTGTACATCCCCCCCAATTGTTGACTTATAATTTAGTTGTCTTGTTATTAGCATTCCGTCCGAATGTTTAACCCTGTAAGACTCAACCCATCAAAAAATAGCCAGAAAATTCTGATTTTTTGGAACTGAGATGTTTATTAACCCTTCAAAACAAAATCCACAATTTTTCTTCGCTATATCATGTTGTGTATGATCATGTTGACGAGGTCTCAGAAACTCATGTATCAAATATGATACAAAGGGCATTGTTGTTAATAAAAGAAAACATTATTTGTGTTTTACTTCAGGTTCTGCAGAGGGTTGCTATGAGATGATGACCATGCAACGCACAAGAGAAAGTAAGAAGGTAAGTGCTGTTCATAAGTTTATTCAAATCTATCTGCAAGTGTATTTTAGTGGATTAACATATTCCTATTACATGAAATAGACTTTGAAATACCCTAATAAGACTCTCATAAATTAATAAAAAGCTCATTTAACTCCATCTTTATTTACAGAATTTCTATTAACTGCATAACTCACAGGTTCTTTGAAGTTCCTTTGAGTTGTTACATACAGTATTCTGCACACTAATGTATGTGAATGGCACTTGTAACTTGTGTATATAGTTCTTCTGTCATTCTTACACTTCTTTCATTGATTACTTTACTTGCTGATGATGTGACTTGTGAAATATATGTTAGTCATGTAAAATTAGCGCGTCGATTGATAGCGTTTAAAAATGTGAAAGGATGACACATTATGCTTCTGTGTCGGCGCTACTCAATTAAAGAAGAAATAATTACTGTTTGACACAGTTAGTCGCTTACTTTTAAAATGCTCATTTGTTGAGCGCTTGTGATTGTTGAATTTGAACAAAGACTATTCATCATCTTGGCTAAATCTGTTACTGCCTGATGCTTTTAAGAGTGTACTGCTCTGGAGTAAAGAGACGCGCCAAAATTATTACAAAAGACAAGAACAAAATTGCGAAATGGAATGCAGCGCAATAAACATTTTACCTTATTTCCATAACTGAAGATACAATTGTAACCAAAAATAACTGATTAGTTGCCGTGCCCTCCTTCTACTTTCTATTTTTTGTGATGGTAGGAATTCATTTTACTTGTTTTTCACTTTGTCCTACTGCACACGGTTTGCAGTTATGATTTTGACCAAACTCGACACTAAGTTCAGTTACATCGTTTCTTTTACAACCATTTTATAACCATTAAGGAGACTAAGATAGATATTATGACATAAAATGGACTTCAACTGTCAGTTTTTCACACAGTATAATAATGTTCTGCACTGACTATCTGACTATACTCAAGAAGTCAGCTCAATCTAAAACTAAATACTTACATTTTGTGCAAAAATACAACAGTCAAATCAGTTGAACTGATGCTTACAGAAGTGCTTTCAAAACGGAAGGCAACTGACACCAGAGACTCTTTGTGGTCAATAAAGCTGTGAACCAATGAACACAATTAAGCCTGAAGCCTTCTAAAAATAAACTCGACAAACTCAAATACATGAGAACATACACAGGAGCCACTAAATAGGATGCAGAAACCGGTGCAGAGTAAAGCAAAACCTGAAATCAATTTTACAATCAATCTATTTTTGTCTGTGTTGTCTGAAACCAGCCTTTCCAGAATGACCTGAATTATGCCTCACTGGACCTGAAGACTGCAAAGAAACGAAAGAAGAAGCATCGCCATCAGCATAGCCAGTCACAGGGACGAAATCATTTCCCCGAACAGCTGTCAGTCCACCACACATCTCCTCCGAATACATTCTTGGAGGTGGATGCAGACATGGATGCTCATCTTCCGTCCAGAGACACCAGCACCATGGTTTCACACAGCAGCATCTACCTCAACAGTCAACAAATAGCTCAACAGACAGAGGAAATGGAAAGAGAAAAGAATCTGACGCTGGAGAGGAATGTTGGTTGGAATAGTATGCGAAGGCGCGAGGATGGAGGAAATCAAGAGAGTGAAGAAATGAAAGATGAACAAGAGTGTAACAATGGGAGTTTATGTGAACAGCTTTCAGAAGTAGAAACCTTTCAGAGCTGCACAGATCCTTTCATTGGTAGCTTTAGCCAGGATGGTCACCAGTACGGTTAAACAAACATATCAAGTTTTACTGTTTCGAACTGTTTTGAACTGAAATCTATATCACCTGAAAAAGACTTTTTGGTTTTTATTTTATTTTATGTGCAAAAAACAAACTACTGTCTATTACTACAGCTGTAAAATGAAACTACGTCACCTAAAATATTCAAACTGCTTGCAGGGTTGAGCAATTTCCTCTCCGAGATAGACAAGATGAGGTCTCCTCATTGAGCAACAGAGGAAGAAAAGTGTACCTTTCATGCAGAGGGTGTAATAAATGTAAATAAAGCTAAAAGGAAACTCTTTGCGTGACATTTAGATGTCAAGGCCCGTGTGGAAATTTTTCAGTTTATTGCAAAAGATGAGGAAAACACCAAATCATCACAGGCCATGGAAGAACTCTCACTGTTTTGATGTCTCATCATCATATATTACCAGATGTCTCATAGAAAGGTGTGAAGAAATTATTTCTTACATTTGTTTTCCACGATGTGGGCGCTGGCTATGTGCTGAGAGGGAATGTTTCACTGAAAAACTCGACATGCTCAGCATATGTGAAACCGCCTCTCGGTAATGCTAAGGGTGAAGATAACATTAACGTGACGATAACGTTTAAAAAACAGAGAAGTAAAAACAAAAAAGGGGGGGAAGCTTTAAGTGGGACATAAGTGATGACATTTTGTTTTCCCTGTGGGCACCTTACTTTGTTGTAAATGTCATGTAGGATTTCACACGTCATGGTTATGACAATGGTTGTTACTTTAGTAATCTATTGCACATATGAGCTAATTTGCCATCTGCTTAAATGATTATTTCCCTCACTGTAATCCCTTGGCAGGATAATTTACTGCCCGGCTATCTGCCGAGGGAATTGAGCTATGGAGTGAACTCAGCAGTCAGAAGCCTGCAGCCCACTCTTTGTTGACAGTTTTTCAATAGCTGACCATGGCCTACTTCCCCTCTATGGATTAAATTTTGCCCTTGGGCATTTTGGATGCAACTCTTGCAGACATATGGGAATGTCACAAAAGAAACTTTTCACGGATAACAGGCACCGTTAGTAACTGTCATGTATGAGGACATAAAGGCAGTCATTTATACAGGATGTTTTCAAAATTATAAAGTCACGCTTCTATAAAGAATCAGTTGTAATTAGGAGCAGTTTATCATTTAAATATGGGTATTAATCTTATACTGTAGCCTATTAAGTTGATTTGCAGTGGGCATTTCCTAAGTTACTCTTTAAATAAGTATGAATTGACAACTTAGCTTTTAGATCTATCTTAATCGTGTAATTGAAAAAAGAGATAACGCTTTTAATGTGTTCTGTAATCTAATATGACATGATGAGAAGCAAAAGGCAACACACTTATCTTTACATAGACAAAGGAAAATGTACTGTTTTATACTATGCTCTTAGAGTAAACATACAACCAAGTACCAAAGTTTATGACTGGGTTACAGTAAAGTATTAAAGGGACATTGACAATGCAGGAAATCATTCAACTACGTAACGTCTTCATAATAATGATTTGAGTAATTAAATGATTATGCAGTCCACAAGAATGGCTCAGCCAAGCTGACGCCCATTTTGGGGGCCCTGCAGAGAATCGTGCTTCACTGCTGACTTAACTTTGATCAAGCGGTAAGAAAATGAGGTACATTTTCAAAGGTATTTATCTGCCTTTCAGCAAGGCTCAGGAAAAATCTGCAAATTGCATGATGTGGCTGTGAGGAGACAGAAAATACAAAAGAAGATTAATTTTTTAGTTAAAAAAATAAAATGAAAAAAAAAGTAAAGTAAAAAAAAAAAAATTAGTAGTAATTAAGATATGACATTGGCTTTCAAACTCACAGTACAAATTTGTGGTTGCATAATCACAACCCCTTAACGCCTAGTGTATCGTATTTGATACATGCAGTTTTTTTGTGACTTTTTAAACTGAAATGCCAGATGTAGCAAATACAATACAAATTAAGCACCATATATGGAAATTAAAACGTATAATAATTTATAAACAAATTTGTCAGATGGCTCAATAAACTCTCTGTTTTCAAGAATTTAAATTTTCTGCCGATTGTTTCACAGCTCAGGCTTTAAAGGGTTAATTTCAGCCATGAAAAAGCAATGCAACAATTCTCTTTCAGCTTGTAGTCGGGCATGTGGTTTCTTTGTAAGATTGCTATCATTGTACAGTTTGCTTATGATGCCACATGTGACCTGCAGTAATTGGAACAGGTGTTATTTTTAAGTTGCTTATTTGTTTCATGTATGTGTGCGAAGAGAGCGAGAGGAGGGGGGATGAGATGAAACAAAGATTACATGACAGATATGAAATATAAAGTGGGTTACACTGCAGCTTGTGAATTGTGCATTAAATTTCTATAGTGCGTTTTGAACAACTGTTAAAGTAAGTGTGACATTCAATAGAATAGTTCAGTAGAGACAAACAGCTCACGATCCAAAGCACACCACTGAAGGTGACTGCGGGAAAGGTTAATGCTGGACATCTTAATACAGAAAAGGCAGCATTTGGTGATGTCCATGGGTTCTGGACGTCAGGTAAATGTTGACATCCATCCAAGTATTAAAAACTAGTCATAATTTTTTAAATTATGTTAGCTTGTTCAATTACAAAATACTTTTGAGCCTCTGAAAATGGGGGATTATGTATAAAAATGCATGCAATTTTAAAACAACTAACACAATACTTTTGTTAAAGCACTTACATTAAAGCTAAAAGTTCGCACCTCAATGTAATCACATCTTGATTGTTTGATTTAAAACCCACTGTGGTGATGGACAGAGGCAATATTAGCAAAAAAAAAGTACTTTGTTCAAAAACCTATGGACTTAACTGTAAGTGGGTTTTCTAATCTGTTCCACCTCCTTGTAAAACTGCTATTAGTCATCTAAATTTATTTGGCAATGGTTACAACGGACAAAGGTTGCAATCAAGGATAATCAATATTATTATGAACGCGTTATTTTTTTTAAATCTTTAATAATAATTTTGCTACTCAGACAGTTACAGGTTGAGGCCAAGTATACTGTTTTCAAAGAACATAACCTTATTTTGTATTATAAACAACAGAACTCAGATTGTAGTATTTCAACCTCATAATACACAAATGATGCTAAAATTCTAACATTTGTAACTACTGCCATAACAATCTAGGATATTATTTTCAGTACATAAAGTACTTACCAGCAGATACAGTTGCACAAAGGAGTAGCAACCAGAGACCTTAAAAGAAAGAAACAAATTGAAGGGTCAGTATTTTTAAGTAATAAGTGCCGCTGGAGATTTATTTTTGATTTGTTCTTTTTAAAGGATGTTAAGTTATACTGTATTTTTAAGTATTTTTTAAGTAGTGATTACTCACAAGTACTAATTTAAGTAATGAGTGCCAACCATAGTTCTTTAGTATGGAAGCCCGTTTCCGCCACTAAAAAAAAAAAAAAAGCTAGTATCCATAACTCGAAATTTCGAGTTATTTTCTCGAAATTTCGAGTTATTTTCTCGAAATTTCGAGTTATTATCTCGAAATTTCGAGAAATATAACTCGAAATTTCGAGTTACTTTTCTCAAAATTTCGAGTTAGCTCTGCCAATCAAAAATATACGTGAATGAGGTCGCTTTCTTGTTACCCGGAAGCATATGGCGCAGGACCGCGCACTCAAAAACGGATCCCAACAAATTAAAGTATGTTTGCTGATAGTAACACCATGCGATTCAGCTAATAACACAGGGATTTCATCATTTGTGAAGCCAGGCTGAAAACACTCAGCAATCTGTGCATTCACGACTGGATGTAATACCGGTAGCTTAGCTGTAGCATTTGTAGCTGAGGGCTTCAGCTTCCGGGTAACATGGAAATGATGTCATTCACGTAGATTACTGATTGGCAGCGCTAACTCGAAATTTTGAGTTGCTTTTCTCAAAATTTTGAGTTAATATGTCGAAATTTCGAGATAATAACTCGAAATTTCGAGAAAATAACTCGAAATTTTGAGTTATGGATCCTTTTTTTTTTTTTTTAGTGGCGGAAACGGGCTTCCATTCTTTAGAGAGAAAAACTAAATTGTAGCAAAGTGGTTTGTTCTGAGGCAGTGAAGGGTCATATTATCCACTTGCGGCCTACCTGTAGAGACTGGCTAGCTTCTCGGCTGTTTTTCTCAAACTATGATAGGAAGCTCGCTACGGTACAACAACTCATTTCTGTTATTAAGTTTAAATAGCATGGTTTGGTTACGACCTTGGTTACCTGCACGAACCTGAATAAACCATAAATTTAGGTCTTCCACCTTTCAGACGGCAACCCAATGCTACTATGCTAGTAAAATACAGTAGCAAACAGGCAGAGAGATGATGGTAGATAATTTACACGAAATATAAGAATGTATAACAAAAATTTAAAAAAATAAAAAAAAAACATCATGTTATCTTTCACTTTTTTTCTAACCAGCCGGAAATGGAAACTTTTTTTTTCACAGACTACGTAGTGAAGCCTCTGATGGGCGGAGACGATCTTCGTAACCAACATGGCAGCGTGCATGTGAATGTCATGCAGTTGTTGCGAATTATTCAGGTGCGCTTATTTCAAATGCGAATATTCCGTTGTTAAAGCCTATATGTGACTTATATCTTGTCGATTTGTACCGTCACCCAACCCAGACAATCTAAAAGTGGGATCATTTGTTCAGTACCGCAGCTGATCACCGCTCATGCTAACATATTAGCTTAGAAGTAGACAAATTTCCATGATGGATCCTGACCAACAGCTGAGAAACGTAAGTCACTTTAAGTCACTGCTTTATAACCCAATCAGCAACACGGCTGGATGATGAGTGTGAATGTATGTTTTTCAGCTGCGGGATTTTCTTCTGGTTTACAACCGAATGACTGAAATCTGCTTCCAGCGATGCAGCAGCAACTTCAACTACAGAAACCTCACAATGGACGAGGTAGGAAAAGCGAAGATCACAGTTACTGTGTCGGCTACGTGGTGGTATTGTTTGATTGCCGTGTTCTGCGTCTCAACACGATTTCTTTCAAGTGTTTTTTTCTGTCGGCTGTTCCATTTAGGGGTCGCCACAGCGGATCGTCTGCCTTCATCTCACTTTACCCCTAGCATCGTCCTCTGTCACATCAACCTTTCCCCTCCTCCACTATATCCATGAATTTTCTCTGTGGTCAATGGATTTTCCTCTTCCTGCCTACTGTCTCAACCGTCAACAAACTTTGTCCAATATATCACCTATCTCTCCTATGCACGTCCAAACCTTCTCTACCTTACCTCTCTAACTTCGTCTCCAAATTGCCAAATCTAAGCTCTTTAATATACTCATCTCTAAATCTGTCCATCCTGGTCATGCTGCTTTATTGTATTTACAAACACATTTGATGTTGTGTAACATCTTTGACAGAGAGGACTTTGCCTGTGACCCTACTCTGTGAAAGAGAAACTTTGTAGCATTCATAGGCCCTTACTGAATTTAACCTGCAATAAAGAAGCCAGTTTTATGTTGCAGCTTGAATATTTTCAGTCCAGTCAAACCACTAAAAATAGTCCCAGCCAGGATGTGGATAACACATTTGCCTACTAATGCATATCTACTGTGTGATCACAATATACTGTAGTTTTCTGCTTTCTACCTCTGACTGCTGTTTGCCTTCCAGGAGCGCTGTGTGGACAACTGTGCAGGGAAGCTCATTCGATCTAACCATCGTTTAATGGGCACCTATGTGCAGCTGATGCCTCGGATGGTCCAGCGGCGGATGGAGGAGCTGGAGAGCAAAGCTGCAGAGAATGCCAAGGAAGAGGCAGCATCTGGAGCTGCTGGGACTGAAATTTCAGCAACACATCATGCTCCCAACACCTCATCTCCACTTCCAGCTGAGCTGGATGCGTCTGTGTCCTCAGAACTCAAATTATCAGCTGCCACACCGCTCACTCCCACAAATGAAACGCTAAATGCTCCAGTGCTTGATAAAGCTGGCATTGGACCTTCATATACAGGAGGATTTTCTCAGCCTTCAGTAGCTGGTGGCCAGATTGATTCTGCCAGCTCTCCGGCACTGTTTACGTCATCTAACTCTTCATACTTATCAGAAGATGCATCTAAATCAGAGAGCCTATCAGGACAAAAAGAGTCTAATAAATAGGGTA